AATAATTAAAATAAAAATATAATAATTTTCAAAACCAATCTGTAGTACGTTCCTGGTTTTGGCGCGACACCACCGCGTCGCGCAGCTACCCTAATATCATACATCATAAATTTTGAATGTAACTTACATGTAACTTTAGGGTGTTGAAAATCAGTTAATTTACAAACATATGTAAAATGGTATATCAAATTAACATAATAAGGATTTTTTGCTAATCATTTCTAATAATTTGTATGTGATAAAATTACTATTTATTTATTATTGAAAAATTAATTCACAAAAATTGCTACTACTTTTTATTTATTAAATATTTTTTAATTCTGTAAAATAAATAAGATTCTTAAAATATGTTTTTATAATAATATAATGTTAAAATTTACAAAAATTAGTCAATTATCAATTTAATATCATTTTTATTAAAAAATGTAATAGTAAATTATATAATATTATCTGATTACTAATAAACTTTATATGATGTGTAAAAATATGTGTTATTTTATTAAAGTTTATCTTTTTACAAATATATAAATCTAAGTTTTATAAAGTAAATAGTTATAAAACAAAAAGTTTTAGCATTTTTAGTTTTGATTATTATTTAATAATGCCTCAAAAAAAATTACAGAAAAAGCATTTAATAAAAGCATGTACTTGTAGAAAGGCAGTTATTCAAAAAGAATTAATGAAAAATAACTCTCAGCGAATTTATCAGATTAGTCAAATTACTGAAACTTTTAATAAGTTAAATGATGAAGAATTTAATAAAATTTTTCAATATATTAATAATTTGAATAAACCACAAATTGGAATTACAAAAAAACGTAGAAATTTAATTAAACATATTGAGTTATTGCCTGATATACAAATATCTGATGTATATAATCTTTTAAAAACTATGGTTTATCCAAAAGGAAAAGATATTGGCAAAATACTATCTTCATATCTTCAAAAGAAAGCATGTGATTTTATTTCTACTGGAATTTATAAACAGGAATTCTCAGCTACTGCAATTTTAAATACAACTAAAAATCTTCAAAAACAAGTAAATAAATTAGAAAAAAATGCAAATGTTTCAGCTATTAAAATTGATTCTTTTTCTAAATGTCTTGGAAAAGCTCATCAAGCTAAGGCTCTTTATATTTCCAAAATTAAATCAGCAATTCAAAATGCAAAAAAAGTAACATCTAATCAATATCAAAAGGTTACAAAGCAATTATTTAAGATAAATAACAAAGAATATGCAGCAAAATTTGTAAAACTTGCAACAGATATAAGTCTTATAAGACATACTTCAATTTCTGCTACAATTGAATGTGTCACAACTAGGTATAAGACGATGTAGCTATCAAGACTAGATATAAGATGAAGTAATAAGTTAAAGGCAAGAACAGATTTTATTATATATGTTGAACAGACTGAGCAATACATAAGGGTTCGTATCTCTCTTTTTATACAAAATTTCTTAACAACTATTACTAAAGCGAATTACTAATACTAATACTTCCAACTATTCGATGACTACATAATTCATGCGCTTGAACTACCTATGACACTTATTGTCTTTAATTTGAATACTATATGACTACATTCTTTATGCGCCAACTTGTAATACGGCTTTGGCTATAAATTAATTAATGGGTGATCTCATTCTTTATGCGTCGGAAAAGAGTCCTTTGACTCTCAGGCTTGGGACTGTAGTCTTGAGAGTCACAGGCCTAAGGGTCACAGGCCTGAGGGTCACGGGCCTGAGAGTCACAGCTTAAGTCGTGCTTAGAGCATCGGGGCTTGGTTGTTGCATTGTTACACCATCTCCCCTTTAATAATCTGCTTCTCTCAGTGCAATTTTTGCATTTGTTTCTTGAAGCAGGACCAGGCTTGTCAGAATGTTGACGATGGAAGGCTTTTACCGCTTTCCAGGCATGTTTCACGTTTTCCCAAGGCTCCCACAAACGTTCATTTGCATCATAACCTTCCCAGTCCACCAGGTAAAATAACTTATTCCGAACCAACTTTGCATCAGTATTTCTTTAACCTCATATTCACTTTCTTCGTCAATGGTCACAGGTGGTGGGGGCTCCGCTACTCTTCCAGAAAATGTATTTGCGGTATATGGTTCCAGTAAAGATACATGAAAGGTGTTGTGAATTTTGAATGAAGAAGGCAATGTTAACCGAAATGCTATCTGGCTTATTTGCTCAGCAATCTCGAAGGGCTCTAGCTTTCGATAGTCTAACTTTTCTGAGGGCCGCTCAGTTCTTATGTGTTGCTTTAATAACCATACTTTGTCACCAAACTTGTATAAAGGGACTTCTTGTTGACACCTATCAGCATATTTTTTGTATCGTTCTTGTGCAGCACCTAATTCAATAACTAACCTTTCTTGTATATTTTGTAAGCGAGCTACCATAGTTTCTGCTGATGGAACTGAAGCAGGAACAGGGCCCTGTATGTCGAAGCGTGGATGAAACTCATAGTTAGCAAGGAATAGGGCTATTTGTATAGACGAGTGGGTGGAATTATTATAAACGAATTCTGCAAAAGGTAACAGTTCAGCCCAATTATCCTGGTGGTAGTTGATAGTGCAACGTAGGTATTGTTCCAGTACCTGATTAACCCATTCACTTTGACCATCCATTTGAGAGTGGTAGGCAGAGGACAAATTAACCTTCAAACCCAATAACTTAAACAATTGTTTTCAAAACTTAGATGCAAATTGAGGGCCCCTATCTGAAATAATTTCTTCAGGTACGCCATGGAGTCTAACAACTTCTCAGAAAATTAGGCGGGCTGTCTGTTCCGCATTGACATTCTTATTACATGCAATGAAATGGGCCATTTTAGTTAGCCTATCTACCACCACAAGAATGGAGTCAAAACTGAAAGACGAAGGCAAATCAGTGATAAAATCCATGGATATGGACTGCCACTGTCATTTTGGAATAGGTAAGAGTACTAACAAGCCCGGGGTACAGTGTTTATGTGATTTCGACCTAGCACAGGTGTCACAGGTTTGTACATACTTTTGCACAAAAGGCCTAAGTTTGGGCCACCAATAGTTCCGTGTGATTATTTCAATGGTTTTGGCTATACCAAAGTGCCCTGCCAACTTTGAGTCATGCCTCATGTGAAGAATCTCTAATCTTTCAGGTGTTTTAGCACATACAATAACCCATCCCGGAATAGAAGGTCGTTGTTGTAGGAGAATTTATCAATGTCAGAACGGAGTGTCGTTGACGCTTTACTATTATGGGTTAGGTGCTTGATTATTTTTTTTTTGCCAAGGGGTCTGTTTTTAGTTGAACCTGGATTTGCTTCAATAGAGCAGAGTCACTGGGGCTCACAGTCAACGCGTCAAGATGTAGTTTTTCTAGTTTTAGCATTATGTATTGCTGTTCCAAAGTTGCACTGTCATTTTGAGATTGGTGGTCAGGCCTTCTGGATAAGGTATCAGATTTCCCTTGTTCCTTACCAGGCTAATAAGTAATTTCGAAGTCATAAGTTGACAAAAGAAGAGACCAGCGGGCCTGTTGTCTATTGAGTGTCTGAGCCGAGGTGAAGTATTGTAGGTTTTTATAGTTACAAAAAATGGTGACTTTATATTGAGCTCCTTCCAGGTAATGACACCATTGCTTAAAGGAAGCTACAATCGCAAGGAGCTCTTTATCGTGCACATCATAGCTGATTTCCGAAGGTAAGAATTTCTGTGAGTGATAAGCAACAGGATGCAAGTACCCATCATCCTGTTGTTGGGAAAGCACTGCTCCAAGTGCAAAGTCTGATGCATCTGTTTCTAGAAAAAATAGCTTTGTAGGGTCCACATGGCGAAGAATCGGAGCAGAAGTGAATTTTGCTTTCAGCAGGTCGAAGGCCTGTTGGGCTTGAGCAGACCAGTGAAAAGAGGTCCTAGATTTGCGGGTCAGGTTGGTGAGTGGAGTAACAAGTTTAGAGTAGTCCTTGATGAAGTGGCGGTAGTAATTGGCAAGGCCTAAAAACCATTGCACTTCCTTGAAAGAATTTGGCACAGGCCAAGTTGTGATGCTCTCCACCTTATTACTGTCTATTTGAATCCCCTGAGGCAAAATAATATATTCCAAAAATTCAACATGCTGTTTGTCGAATTCACACTTCTCTAGCTTCGCATATAGACCATGTTCCCGTAAGAGTTCCAAAACCGACCTTACATTTTTGTTATGTTCCTCTTTATTTGGGAAAAATACTAACACATCATCTAAGTATATTATGATGAATCTATTCAGGAACTCCCTAAAGATATCATTCATCATGTGTTGAAAGACAGCGGGGGCATTGGTTAGCCCAAAAGGCATAACCATGTATTCAAAATGTCTGTAACGAGTGCGAAATGCTGTCTTCTATTCATCACCAGGCATATACGAACTAGGTTATAAGCACCTCTGAGGTCGATTTTGGTAAACAATCGCGCCGAAGAGAGACGATCTAGCAATTCAGAAATAAGCAGGAGTGGATACCTGTTCTTGACAGTAATCTGATTTAATTTTCTATAGTCTACGCATAGGTGTAGAGATCCATCTTTTTTTTGAACGAAGAGTACAGGTGCCCCTGCAGGTGATCGTGAGTGCCTAATAAAACCATTACTCAAATGGTTCTCTATATATTTACGCAATGTTTCCAATTCCTTTGAGGATAAATTGTATATCAGCCCCCAAGAAGGTTGGGTGCTCAGTAATAAATCTATAGCGTAGTCATACGGTCTATGTTCAGGTAACTGATCGGCTTTCCTCTTGTTGAAAACATCCTGGAAGTCAAGATATTTGCCAGATATGTTTTGGTGATTACTTTTCCCTGGGTTGTTTGACATGAATGCGAGGAAAATCCGGGCTAGGTAGAGCTTTTCTTTCACTCTTGTCGTATGATTAAAAACACTGTTATTCTTTATAGTTAATTGAGAAAGGTGTTGAACACATGTAGGGTCAGAGAAAACGATGTTGCGGCCCCTCCAATCGATAATTGGGTTATGCAAGATCAGCCAAGGTAGTCCCAATATGATGGAGTGTTGTGGTGATAAAATAAAGTTAAATTGTAACTTTTCTGAATGATTCTGGAAAATGAGAGTTAAGGGTATAGTTTCCTGAGTGACAAGACCTGAAGAAATTTCCCAGCCATCAACAACTTCCACAAACAAAGGTGGGTTTATTTCCACATTAGGTATTAGTACTTGTAGAACTAGTGTGGTGTCCAAAAAACAAGCAGAAGCCCCTGAATCCAGTAATGCCTTTACATTTAGAGTACGATTATCAGGGAGCTCCAAAATTACATTGAAGGAGAAAGCACTTGTGAAAGTGTTGGAAAGAGTCGATCTGGGGGTTGTATTGTTTAGTAGGTCCAGTCCCAACCCCCTTACTGAGACTGGGGCTTCCCTTTTCCCAAATTTTCTTCCTGATTTGCTACTAGAGAGTTGACTCTATATTGATTGCTTTTCCTTGGGCATGTTTTGGCAATGTGACCTGCATCCCCACAATATAGACACAGGCTGTTAGTTCGACGTCTCCTTTTTTCCTCCCCTGATAAATATTTGAATTTGAGTGCATCAATTTGTATAGGTTCAGCTGGTGTAGGTGCTTCAGTATATGAAGTTTGGGACTGGGTCCTACTAAAATTTGAGGTTTACCAACGCTCCTGTTTGCGTTTGAATAAACGATTGTCGCAATGAACAGCATTAGTGATGGCATCGTTTAGGGAGGTAGGGTTGTCCATTGTTAATAAAAGGTCTTTTACGTCGTCACGAAGGCCATTCCTGAATTGGTCGATAAAAGCTGCTTCGCCCCAATTCAAGTCACTAGAGATTTGCCAGAATTCTGATGCGTAGCTTGATGCGGACCTAGAGCCTTGGGTGAGTTTCCTGATTTTGTTAGCAGCAGTTCTTTTTTTATCTAAGTCTCCAAAAGTGTTTTCAAATTCCTGGACTATATCATCGAAACTTTCGAGCAAAGGTGACTGTTTTTCTAACAGCAGGGCAAACCAGGCAAGGGCTGCATCCGAAAGTAAGCTTTCCAAAAGCCCCACCTGTGTTTAATCATCTGGATAACAGTTTGGTCGCATATGAATAACAAGGCATACTTGGTTCAGGAACCCTCTAAACTTGGTACGGTTCCCATCAAACTTATCCGGCAAACAAACTTTGGGTTCTCTTTAGGCACCAACCTCTCCATGTGCCCGAAGCTGATCCATTTCTTGACGCAAGGCCTGGTTCTCTTGCTGAAGATGTTGAAGAGCAAACAAAATGTCGTTAAGGTTGGCTTGTAGTTGTTGTGGTTGTTGTTGATCCATATTCGCAGTGATATTGGTAATGTGTAAAAAAGTTTTTTTTTTTTTTTTTTTTTTGTGTTTTATGCAAGAATAATCGGTACAGACTTCAATAACGGAAAAGAAGTTTAAGGTTTTAGTCTGTTCAAACTATCATGACTAGGTATAAGATGATGTAGCTATCAAGACTAGATATAAGACGAAGTAATGAGTTAAAGGCAAGAACAGATTTTATTATATATGTTGAACAGACTGAGCAAAACATAAAGGTTCGTATCTCTCTTTTTATACAGAATTTCTTAACAACTATTATAAAGCGAATTACTAATACTAAATACTTCCAACTATTCAATGACTACATAATTCATGCGCTTGAACTATCTATGATACTTATTGTCTTTAATTTGAATACTATATGACTACATTCTTTATGTGCCAACTTGTAATACGACTTTGCCTATAAATTAATTAATGGGTGACCTTATTCTTTATGTGTCGGAAAAGAGTCCTTTGACTCTCAGGCTTGGGACCGTAGTCTTGAGAGTCACGGGCCTAAGGGTCACGGGCCTGAGGGTCACGGGCCTGAGAGTCACGGCTTAAGTCATGCTTAGAGCGTCAGGGCTTGGTTGTTGCATCGTTACAGAATATATAAAAGCATTTTATATATTTTTAACAAATGAAACTTCTAAAAAATGGGTTTCACCAAAAAGTTTAAATCAATGGACAAAGGATATTGCTAAAATTTCAATTCAACAAAATTGTCCAAATGAAAATAATTCTGAATTCTTTGGATATGGTATAATGGCAGATAAGAGTACTCATGGTGAGAAAAAAATTTTTATACTTTGTTATTTATATTGGAATTATATTCAAAATAAACCAACAATGACAGTTGTACAAGTTAAAGATCTTGATCGAGTTAATGCAATTACAGTAGCACAAGCAGCATTAGAAAGTTGTAATAAAAATAAATTAAATCCTAATAAATGCTTGTTTTGGCTTACTGATAATACTTCTTATATGTCCGGAGCAAAAGGCGGAGCTATAGCAAAGTTTAATGAGCTAAAAAATACAAATTCTATAAGAATTTCATGTGGGCTACATGCAATTCATATTGCTTTAACTAATTTTAAAATTGCTTCATTCGGAAAATTGGATCCACCTTCAGGAATATCACTTCGAAAACATCCTAGCAATCTTCTTCGATTAGTCTTCTATTTTCATAATGGCTATAATGAAAGTGATAGAGACAATCCTTTAAATATGAAAGCAAGCATAATTCAAGAACTTTATAATACCTTACTAAATTTCAAATTACCAAAATATCAAAATCCGATTTCAGAACGTTGGCTT